ATTATTATTATTATTATTATTATTCTGTTCACTGGGAAAAAACACTTAAGTTTTTTTTAAAACTTAAAATTATTTTCTTCTGTAGAGTCAAAAGAAATTTATCTATTTTTCATAGATCTGTAGCAGATCAGTTTAAGCAGATGTTTTTTGCCATTGCTTAGGTGACTTACTCTATGACTAGTATGTATTTTGGCTTTTATTTTTACTTTATCAGATGATAGAAGCAATAAAATACAAATGTGATCTTGTCAACTATAGCTACGGAGAGGCAACACATTGGCCAAATTCTGGGTGAGTACTACTGTGGTTAATATAAAGTATTTTAATATAGAAGTGGAATTACATTTGTTGACCTCTATCTAAATGAACTGTCAGTAAGAATGAATTGTCCAGGCCCAAATCATTCATATCCATTAAACTGTTGCAATTTACATTTTTAACTGTCTTCCAAAGTTAAGTAAACCTATCAAAAGTGCTGTTGATTTATAATACAAAGACTATTTTAGAATAATAAATAATTTTTGTAGTTGGAACACCACATAATCTCTGGGGTTTTTTTGAAGACCTAATATTGCTACATAACTGTTACTCCTTTTTAAAACCAGAAGATTTTTTTTGTGGTCAGTTTCTGTACTGGAACCACCTCTGCAAGGTGTGGGAAGCACTTGCATGATATACTTTGCATGATATTCCTTGTTCTGTGACTGGCCACAGAGATTGTACTAGAAATGGGAGTTTTGCCTTATGGGAAGAAAGCAATATTGATGATTTAATGACTTATTTTTTTTCTCTTACCTCAGGAGAATTTGTGAAGTAATTAATGAAGCAGTGTGGAAACACAACGTAATCTATGTTTCAAGTGCAGGAAATAATGGCCCTTGCCTTTCTACAGTAGGATGTCCTGGTGGAACTACATCTAGTGTAATAGGTAAATAATTTGTTTTGAAAAAAAAAAAATAAATTTGGCAGTCTTCAGCTTGTGTCTTTTCAATCTTTGTACTTGTCTTACATGTTTGAGACCACTGGTTGATTGCTGAACTAAATCTAAATAAATATTGAAGACTAGTGGGCTACAGGGTTAATTCTGAGGGAGGCACTTGTATGCTTAGGTATAAAAATTTAGATTGATATCTTCTTACAATTCAAGACCTTACTTATGAAAGAGGCAGATGTTCTTGATTTGATGTGACTTTGTATAAAATTACTGTGTTACGTAAGATGCTTGTTAAATCTCAGAATTCTCATGCAAGGAGACTAGCATGTAGACTTGAAAGTTGTAGAGGCACTATTTCAGGACAGCTAGTAGCATTAATGCTGATTTCTTTCTAAGAGTTAATCTGTAATTACTCCACTAGTAAGACTGGGGGTTGGAACTGGAACTACCAAGCTCTTTTCAGGTCTGCATTGGCTTTGCTCTTACAGTGCATGTACTGTGTCAATTCAGCTTACTTCTTTCCTTTTTCTAGAGACTGGGTGATCATTCACTCTGCATGCAAAGTAGCTTGCTGCTTGTCCTCCACATGGACTGAACCACATAGGGGTTTTTTTGGTTTTTGAGGCTGAAACAAAATACAGTTGACAGGCTGGACTAGTTCACACAGACAGCATGGACATGGACCTTGACAAATTTGTTTGTCAGCATGGTATGGTGGTATTCTACCATCCTGATAGTGCTTGTGCCATAAAAAAGATGGAGTGTACGCTTTAGAATAGGTGCAGGGCATGGATGCAATGTGCATCTTTGACATTGTGTTCTAAAAATACAACTTTAGCCGGCTTTGACATAGTCATTTACATGCTCTGGGCACTTTGAACTGATGTACAGGACAGTAATAACTGTCTCATCACTGTGATGAGCTGTGTGTATGTGGCCATCTTCTCCAGGTGGTGTAGCTGAGAGTCATGTGAACATGAACCAATTCACACAGATTGCTTTAAGGTATGGTTGGTGTAGTTTGTAACAGTGTAAACACAGCCAAAGGGGTGCGGGAGAGAGTGGAGACATGTAAAAGTGATCTGTTGTGAAAGAAATGTAGAAGGTGAATACATTCTATTCCAGCTGAATAAAAATGAAACTTTGAAGTTTACATAATATTTTAATATTATACAGTATGACCATCAGCATTGTTACTGCATAGCATGCTATTTTATATTTGCCTTGTACAAATACCTGGATTTAATGAGATGGACAATGTGTGTTTCTGTTTTTAAATGTCAAGCAAAAATTCTTCTCGTAATGAATTTAAAGGATGGAAATATTTTATTTTGCTTAAATTCATTTGACATCTAAAATACTTGAATGTGTTTTACAGGTGTTGGTGCCTATGTATCACCTGACATGATGGTTGCTGAATACTCTTTAAGAGAGAAACTGCCAGCAAATCAATACACTTGGTCATCCAGGGGGCCTAGGTAGGTTATACTAAAAGAACAAATTCATTACTTTGGGGTTCAGATGATGTAACTCAAAATCTAAAAATGTGTCATTAATACCAGAATAAAAGTATTTTTTTCCTGTGGGAACAGCGTAGGTAGCCTGCTGTTCTCGGAAGGCCTTTATATGTCAGGCTCTAGAACTCCTGGGGGACGGGGAAGACCACTGAACTGCCTCGCACAACCTGTACATTTCTGGAAAGTGTACCTGATGGGCGCAAACCTATTGAGACGTGATAAAATTTGTTGAAAAGTTATTTGGAAATTTGTTCTTTTTCTGAAATTTATTTTTTCAGAGGACTTTTTCCATAGCATTTGTTTCATTAAGTTAGTGTGGTGAAGTTAACTGTTCTGTTAGTGTTGAAGATTAAAAGAAATACTGTTACTGCAGTGGTGTTACTTCTGGCTTCAGTGACATGGTCGTGATGGCACAACTTACTCAGGGTTTTGTTTGAGTCCAGTAGAGGTGTGAGTGCTTTTCTACACCACTTTATAGAAAATTATTTGAAAGATCTATAAAAAAATGTAGGGCCAACAAAACCTTCAATTTTTATCTCACGTCTCATAAATATTTGATAGTAGTATGGTAGCCAAAAGAAGAAAAAAAGAACTGAGTTCTTGCCTGTGTTCAGACCTTGGAATTGTTCTTGCAAGTTGTGGAGTTACTGTATATTGTCTTTCATAGGTTAGTTTGCAATATGATTGGGTGACAGAAAAAATAAAAAACATAGCTTGAGGTTGGTCCTTGGCTTATTTGCTGGTTACATAGCAAATAATAGGGTGCAAATGCTTCCCTATTAGCATTGGTTTTTAAAGTTAGTTGTCATGGTGTTTGTATTTTTACAGACAAGTGTATTGTTCTAAGAATCTTACTATATAGAATTGTCATGTTTCACGTAGGGAAAAGAGGAGTGTGGTCTCTGCCTTCAGCTGAGAAGGGGAGAAAGATTTGTAATTAATATTGATATACATACACCCATATACACTTACATAAAAGCTAGGTTTCGTATGCTTTGTCACTTTGTGTTGTGAAATAGTCAGAATGTGCATATGTCAGCCGGAAGGCACAAGTCTGGCCAAAGAAGGATTCCCCTTGTGTAGTGTGCAACACACAGGTGGCTGGAGAGTTCCTAAAGCTTTGCTAGAGCAGGGTTGGGGTAGGGGACCAGTCTGTCCAATGAAGCACTAGAGGCTTTCAGGCAGATACACTGTGCACTGCTTGGCCAGAAATGTCATGATACAGAACCTGTTGTTTGTATAGGGCTGTCATAAAATCTGCCCAGGTATCCCGCATCTGTTAGCGTGGGATATAAATATGCTAAAATAAGTTCTGCCTCTCCACAGAACTTAATAGCTCAGGTACAGTGCTGTCCTTATACAAGTGGTGCAATTTTTGTCTATCCAGAGCAAGGAAGGTGGACTATATCTAGCTCATACAGGTGAAAACTAGATGCTGTTTTAACTGTCCTGTAGGTACCCACTCTGTTCTTAAATATGCTTGAGCAAGAAAGAAAGGTGGCTTAGGCAGCTGATCTTAATCCACCTCTTGACATTCCTTTTTTTGTCTTATCCCCTTGCTCTCCTTGTCTCAGGTGCTGTATTGTAATTCAAAATTTGTCCTGGTAGTGAAGTGGCAACATGCAAAATTAAGAGATCTGGATTTTGGATCTTTTCTAGTCTTCCTCTACCTTTTACTATTTTCCTTTAATAACTGTTAAATGGGCTACGTTTGTTTTCATGCATTTTCTAATTCAAATCCCAGAAGATATTCTGATGCCTAAACTGAAGCCTGGTACAGAGTATTGAAGGAGTGAAAGTTTAGAAAACTTCCACTGTAAAACAGACATAGCTGATGGTTAATGTGGCATTTTAAATTACTATGTAGTGGCATGCTTTTTCTTGGGTTTAATGGGTTAATGGATTTAGTGAAGTAATATACTTGGCAATGTTCCCTAAAGCTAAAATTATCTTTTTAAGTGCATGGATAACTTCAAGATAAAATGTGCAGAAAAAAATGTATGGTTTTTAACCGTTCTTTTTTAATGCTAGCACTGATGGAGCCCTTGGAGTAAGTATCAGTGCCCCAGGAGGTGCTATTGCTTCTGTTCCAAACTGGACTCTGCGAGGAACACAACTCATGAATGGCACATCCATGTCTTCTCCCAATGCATGTGGAGGCATTGCATTAGTATTGTCAGGTAATGTACTACAATGTTAAGTTTAGATGTGTGGTCTGAAAGAGAATAAATATTTTTTTCTCTTTAAAACAAAGAAGTGCTATAACTTTCAAATTTTTTGTTGTATCCAATAATAACCTTATTTTTAATTTCAGGACTCAAAGCTAATGATGTTCATTACACTGTTCATTCTGTCCGAAGAGCTTTAGAAAATACTGCGGTGAAAGCTGAAAACATAGAAGTATTTGCACAAGGACATGGTATTATTCAGGTACTTGCTAGCAAAAATACCGACATAACATAAATAACTGCTAGTGGAAAACTAACCCACAAAAAAGAGCAGCTTTCTAGATGAGCTCCCATGCTACTTGATTCTCAGATCTGATTAAAGGAGAAAGGGAGAATGTAGTGGGAGGGGAGGAGGAGTGTGATTGTTCTATTAGTTTCAGCATGCAGCTACTGTAGAATAAATGTGTTAACTAGACACAGACTGATCAAAAAGGTATGTGGACATAAAAGCAAGATGTGGGCTTTTATCACCCACATATGGATTTGGTTGCCTAAATGCTGTCCTAATGTCCAAAAATGTTTTTATGTTCTTGTCAGAGCGAGCTGAACTTGTTCAGTGCAGACAAAAGCTGGAACTGTAAGTTCTGGGCAGTGAAAATGCAGAGATACCCACACTGGTTCACAAAGCAGTACAGCTGCAGTTGTGCAGTGACTTTGCTCTGGGCCTGCAGTGAAAAGTCTGAGCAGTCATTGTATCCGGTGGACTTCTAAGTAGCTTGGAAATCTATGATGTCGTCCTTTGTATGATGAAGACATAGTGAATGACAGTCTTCGTGTGCATAAGCTTAGATTCTTAAGAGCTGCTGCTGGTTTTTGCCTGCAGTCAGTCCCATCCTAGCCACAGAGAGGTACTGAGATTTTGCTCTCATGCTTATAGATGCTAGATATTAAATACTTAGCCCTAAACTCACATTCTGGAGGTATTAGAAACTAGTAGGTAACATCCACTAAGCACATCTGTAACACTGAATTTGATACAAAAGGCAGCAATGGTGGTAGCCATATCAAATAGAAACATTGCCACAGAAAAATGAAATGCACCAGTCATGTCTTATGATTTAGTAATCCATGATTAAAGCATGTGTTAAAATATGTGCTTAAAACTCTAATCTGGGAGGCAGAGGCTGTTATGTGTCCACTTGTCTCAAAGGAGAGTGCCATAATCTCCAGTGGTGAAGGTAGCTCACTGTGAAGTGGAAGAGAATGTAAAATTTTGGAGTCAGTAGAATAGAAAGCAAGATAGAAGGGTGCCTTTTTAAGACACAAAGGGGAACTTGTCATGTAAGTTTATTGTGACAGCTCATTTACTTATATCCAGGGCTGGATTTCATGGCCTGATACTCTTACTTCATATCAATATATAAAACTTACATGGGCATCCCATATTGCATATCTCTTTAGAACTGCTCAACTTCTTGTATTATATGAATGGTTTAAATGCTTAACTAGCGTTGCTTCACATATGAGGAGGACACCTAAATTTGTATAGTAGTTCTCGTCCTTTGAAGTCCTCTTTGTCTTTGAAGTCGTCTGTAAAAACTTGTTACGCATCTTTTGATGGATTTATAGCAAAGGAGAGCTGTCTTTTTTTTTTTTTTTTTTTTTTACTTTCCGTGCTCTGTATGGCTGTTGCAGACTGAAAATGTTGCCTCATTTTCTATACTGTGTATCATGTAAGGTGCAACAGTGTGGCTCAGGTAACACGTGAGTTACTTCACTGTTTGTTGCTGTGCTTGCTGAACACTTCGTATTGCAGATAATATGCATGAATTGCTGTTAAGTTGAAATTTGTTAATTTAGACTGTGTTCTTTTTAACAGGTTGATAAAGCCTATGACTACCTCGTTCAGAATTCATCATTCACAGGTAACATAGGCTTTACGGTTACTGTTGGCAGCAACCGTGGAATCTACCTCAGAGATCCTGCCCAGATAGCTGCACCTTCTGATCATGGGGTTGGCATAGAACCTGTCTTTCCTGAAAATACAGGTAGGAAAGAGCTTTTGTATGGGGAGGGGGAATGGGGGGAAGGGATAAAGTATAATCTTTTAAACAAAAAAGCTGTGATAATGAGGAGCGGTAGGAATTTGTATCGTAAAAGGAGTAAGTGCAAATATAAATTTCATGGTAAATGAAGGCATGCAGCTAAACAACTTTTCCATTCTAACCTCAGACTTAATAACTACAGCACTTCCATGTTTGGGGAGAGTCTGCTGCTTCATGCTTCCTGTCGCTGAAAAAAAGAGATGTCTCTTTGTTCCAAAGAAATTTAAAGCAAAGTTGTGGGACCAGAGAAGAATGTGAAAAAATAATCAAATATCCCTAATATTTCATGACATTATAGAACTTCAGTGTTTTTGTTGTAGATAACTCTTGGCAAAGAACTATTGTTTCTCTAAACATGAAAGAACTTACCCAGAAATTGGTTTCTCAGTTATTTAAAGACTATAAATTCTAGAATTGGACTTTATTGAAGTTTCCACAACCTGAGAAAAATATTAGTTTAACAAACTAGACTTATATTCCGTAGCTAATAATGGATAAACAAAAATATATCTAAAGGCAATACAAGAATACTCTTTTGCCCTGCTTTACTTTATTAAAAACAAGTTGGAGCTCACTGAGAGACTGATTTACATTGTATTCAGAAAGTGATTCAAGTGAGAGCTTGTTACTGAGATGAATTCCTTTCCTAAAACCAGTGATCCCCAAGAAGGTTGGCATGTGACAAAGGAGTGAGTTTGTTTAGGGGAAGAAAAGGCATGAATCGGGACAGGTTACTGACTCAGAGTAACTTAGTTGTTTGACAGCTTACACTGCAATCGGTGCTTTTTAGATTTACCGTGTGACACAGAGAAATAAAATAATTGTATGATAGACTCTTCTGCAGGAAGCAAACAATCTGAAAACATACTTAGATATTTGTAATGGATGACTGGCTTGTAGCATGATGTTGTTTCCCTAGTACCTGTCCAGTTGTTATTTCTGTGCTGTGTGTGGTGTCTTCACCAAGACTGAGTTTGAGAAACTTTAGTAAGAGGTTACGGGAATCTCAGTCTTAATCTGCTCAGTCTGTCTGTTGAAGTTCTCTTTGAGCTTTTATTGCTTCTCATGTTCCTATGAGACAATTACATCAATAGAGTGCTCCTTTCTCTACTTAACAAAGATGTAATGAAATGTCTGAAAATTAAGCCGAGATTAATTCAGACTAGAAAATGTGGAAATTTTTTTTCAAAGTGTCATTAATCTTTAGAGCAGGAGAAAGCTGATTTTTAATCACTTAAACATTTCAGCTAGGGTTGGATGCTTTTCTGGAAGCTGTGCTTTAACCCATAGCTTTTTTGACATGGAAGCTAATTTGCGAAATCGGCTAAATTGACTGCAAGTCAGACTTGATTATCATAGTAATTTTTAATAGACTTTACCTCTCACTTAGGTTGCTCTATAACATAATTTGGTAGTTAGCATAAGCTTCAGAATCAGTGCAATTGCTTTTTATTGTATTTCTCTGCATTAGGCAAGACTTTGTATCTGTACAAGAAAGTTTATACCTATTTCCAGACTATGTTGTGGGCAACTGAAGCATTGCTTATTAGCCTACCTTTGACTTTGTCAGGTTTGACTGTTTCAAGGCAGAAAATTTCAAAGTTAGATATTACCTTAATTTTACTGTACACTGCTGCTATTCTACTTTTCTCAAGTTAAAAGAAATAATACAGAACACTGTCATTTGTGGAGAATCTGACATCCGGGGCCCCTAAGGAATTAGTTCCTATTACATTTTATTTATGGGTACATTTTAATGGCAAATACTGTGTTATAGTAGAATATGAGCCCATATTTGTGTTATTGAACGGTTTTTGAAATTTGTTTCTTGACAGAAAACACTGAAAGAATATCTCTCCAGCTTCATTTAGCTTTAACTTCAAATGCACCGTGGGTCCAGTGTCCTAGTCATTTAGAGCTTATGAACCAGTGTCGACACATAAATATTCGTGTGGATCCACGTGGCCTGAGGGAAGGACTACATTTTACAGAGGTATGGAAGTATTGGTGTTCTAAGCAAGATTTGCTTTTCATGTGGTCTCTGTCAACTTTTTATAGAAGTAGTTTTTGAGGAAATAAAAGCTGTGTGCTGTACAGACAGAAAATACTGCCACACTCCGTTTCACTATACAATCTGAATCCAGAGTTCAGCAATAGTTATGCTATGCAGTGTTGTATAGCACATGCCAATGGGACTTTGAGTATCTGTGTTTAAAAAATAAAAGCATATACAAAAATAAACCAAATAAGTAACAATTGGTTAAGGTTTTTCCTCTGGATATATTATAACCTTTGACTAGCTGGCTCGGTTCTTTATTATTATTGAGGACAAAGTGATGGTGGAACAAATTTTCAGAGAGAGTATTTAAAGCTTGTCCATGAAAGGCATGGTAAATGGAACTGTACTTTCTCAAATATAATCCTGGAAAGTAAGGATTAAAATATTTTTAATACAACAGCAAAAATAGTTGAAATAAAATAATAAGGCTGTTGGAGACAAATCTAAGTTGAAACTAGGTCAAGATTTTGATATAGACACTATCAAATGAGGGTTAAAAGCTTGAAAACTTCTGGGGAAAGACTGAAATGTGTAGAAGTATGGAAACTATTTTTTTTTTCTTGGTGAAAGTTGCTGGTTTACTACTTGTAGGGTAACAGTGGTCAAATTAAGATCTCTTCTTCTCAGTGGTAACTACAAAGATTCAAAATACTCAGCAACTACCTTAAGTTTAATGTTGTTGATTCTATAATCATATTTTGATGAAAGATTTAAGTGTCTGTATTTTGTTTTGTTAGGTGTGTGGATATGACATAGCAACACCTAATGCAGGCCCTCTGTTCAGAGTCCCAGTAACTGTTGTTATACCAACAAGGTCAGTAAACCCAGGCTTTATCTGCATTTTTTAAGTGTAGTTTTCTGTACCCACTTTACTTGTTGTCATTTATTTTGCCACCTTCTTCCTCTGGGAGTCCTTGAACTTACTACTGACATTGATATGGGATCAGAGACCTGAAATGATTGTCACAGAAGACTTACACAGCAGTGGCTTTTTTGTAGTTTTGGTTGTGGCAGCCAGAAGGCAGTGTGTTCTGGTGGGCTTAGCCGTGGTGGCAGCAGCTTCCTGGTCCATCAGAATACAGATGTCTTCTGGCTTGTTGAGCAAAGTATCAATCAATATACTCTTAGGTGTAGGTCAACTGGAGTTTGTTTTTCATTTCTAACTCGTAGACTAGAGTACACAAAGGTGGGGGCATTATTTGGCAGGTGAACATTGGGATAAGCTTCCATCATGATTTTAATAGGGCGAATTTAGAGACTTAGTATTGTGCCCACATTTGGTTTAAACGTATGACTTCAGTGATGTTGATGAGGAAGGAGAGTATCTTATTGAACCTGTTCAGAGGACAATCTGTTCTGAAAAAAAAATAGAAGTAACTTTTCTCTAACTCGTTCCTAGAAATATTACTTCTCGCATACCTTAGTATGTAAGTGACTTCAGCGGAACGTCCCTCAGCCAGGAAAAGCAGATCCACTGAAAACTAGGATTCTTTGACACTTATGTTTAAACACAGTAACTTCAGGGAGGTGGGGAGGGTGTCTACATAATTTGGTGGAGCTTGAGTTTTAAATCTTTTAGATACATTGTGCTGTCAGATTCTGTACTAGTACGGATTAAAATAGTTGGTGCTATGGACTGAATATCCTCATTGTACACTTTTTTTGGAAAGTATTTGTGCATTTTAAATACTAAACCCCATATTTTCACAGCTTGTTTGATTACCATTTGTTTTCTTTTTGGCATACAGAGTAGATGAATCATCAAGCTATGACCTGACATATACAGATGTTCATTTTAAACCTGGTCAAATCCGAAGGCACTTCATTGATGTCCCACAGGGAGCTACATGGGCTGGTAAGGAAAATGAGCACATCTATTAAATAAAAAAAAAAAATCACTTCTGTCAGACTTGACAAAGTTATTTTGAAATCATTTTGAGTTCTACCTGAATAAGAACTGAAGGATTTGACCCATGGATACATAAAGTATTTATTTGATTCTAAGCTCTTAGAGGAGTGATTTTGAGTTATCTCATTGCTTCTGGTACAGTAGAATCTTGATTCTCAGTCTTCTAGAAACCAGCAAATACAATCTGAAGTGACTGCCCATAACTGGAGGAATACCCCACGTTTATGGAAAAGTTTTACTGTCTGAGGTTTGACTAGTTTTTAAGGTGTATGGATGTAGTGTTGAAAGATGTCTTAACTGACGAAAATGTGATTTTCATAATGGGCAAGTGCTCATAATTCTGCAAAGAGGAAAAAAAGGGGTTTTTTCCCCTCATCTTCCTGTGTGAGATTACTAAATAATAATCCTTTCAAGAATCTTTCATTTAGATTGAAATTACTGATAAGACTCTTACTTTAGAATTCAGCAGCAGTCTGTCTTGTACGGATTATACAACTGTACTATCTGATTCATTTTCACCATTTGAGTCACGTTTCTCTTAACTGATCTCTGAACTTACTCAATTTTCCTTAACGTGAAAGGGTCTTTGTAAATAACTGGCATACTGCATAACTTCTTAAATTACAAATTACTTGTGAAACTAGTCTTTTTCTGGTGAATCTCTGCTCTTCTCCTAAAATTCTTGGCTCTTGAAACTAAATTTGGGGTTTTTTTTCTTTAATCTAGAAGTGACAGTATGTTCATGTTCAGCTGATGTGACTGCCAAGTTTGTGCTTCATGCCGTTCAGCTAGTGAAACAAAAAGCATATAGAAGTCATGAGTTCTACAAATTTTCATCCTTACCAGAAAAAGGATCAGTGACTGAAGCATTTCCTGTCTTAGTAAGTTACCTCAGGGTGGCATGGGTGAAGAGAAAGTACTATATCAGTGCAGTATGACATAACTAATTCTGGGTTTTTTTTCCAAAGAAAAACCCCAAACCTAAGAAATTATGTGTTTGTTACAGTCGTGAACGCATCTGGTTTTCAGTTTTGAAAAGATAACTCTAATAGCTTGCTAGTGTTTCTTAATTATTTGGTATTTACCCTTATAATATGTGTTAATCTCTTCAATTTATTAGTTAGTTGTTTATACAAACCGGTTTGTTTCCCTTGCAAATAGGGACTATGACTTGCTGGACAGATGTAGTTTTAGTGCTAAATGGGGTAATCTGAGACATCTGCTTGATGTTGAAGCCAGGTGATACTGACTGGCTTACATTCATACAGCTTAGATACAGCAGGGTTAGCTTGGATAATGCTAGCTCAAGAGTCCGAAACAGAACGGAGTGAGCTAACAGTTCAGGGGTGAGTCCACTTCTCAACTTTGTCCCCTGCCTTGCTTAATTTAGTTGTATAGCTCTAAAGCCTAAGAGTGGTTATGATTTCGGTGCTATTCAGTCCCTTACCCTCTGTGAAAATGGCAGGTGGGGGACAAGCAAAGTTTGCCCCACTGACACACCAAACAATAACAACAAAAACCCCAAACCTCTGAAGCTTATTGTCATTTTATTTGGGCAGAGAGTGGGATCTCTTTTTCTGATACACATTTTCTAAGGCATGCATGTTAGACTCATCTATGAACTAACCTGTCTGCCTAGTTTGAAGGATAGGAAAGGAAGATGTAATATTTAAAAGCTGTACATTTCTTTGTAGAGTATACCCCTAGTACTCTTTGTTTTGATGCAGTCATCAGTCATCCTGTTTTGTTGGAGCTGTCTTCTATTTTCTGCACCAAGTACAATGTCTTATTTGGTACTGTACAAACCTATACAATAGGAGTAAACTAGATATAACAGAGTCTTTTTTGAGCTATACTGCAATTTTTTTTGCTTTGCATAAGGGAGGCTGGGGTGAATAGAAGGGGAAGATGGGAACTTGTGTCTAACTTTGTGCTTTTGTTACCCAGGCTGGAAAAACCATTGAATTTTGTGTTGCTCGGTGGTGGGCAAGCCTTAGCGATGTTAGCATTAACTACACAATTTCTTTCCATGGTGTACTTTGTGCTACTCCTCAGCTGAACATGGTAAGTTTTCCAGAGTGTTTATTTTGAATTATTCTGAAGTCCTGTGGTATCTCAGAATAAAAAAAGCTTTTCTTCATTCCTGCCTGCATTTAGAAAGACTAAAAGTATCTTTATACATGAGATACTCATGTTTTCTCTTAAATATAGGTAAAATAGGAGTTCAGTCCCACAGAAGTGCTCATTACCATTATCTACAAATTTTTCTATGCCTTTTCATTATAAATCGGGGGGGAGTACACCAAAAACAAAACCAAGCAACCAAAAAAAACCCTCAAACCCAACACCAATGGAAAGGACATATTAAAAGGCTGAAATTGTAACCATACTTCACTAGCAAGTGTTTGTGTGAATAAACTTTGCTGGGACCACAGTTCTTGGACTTCAATATCTAGATTACCATTGCTAAAAGACAATACTCTGAATACCATTTTCAGAATAAAATGTCATTAGAATTTATTTTCTGTTCAATGTTTTATTGAGATGTGCTGATTGGTTTGAGATTCATTGTTTAGGGCAGTTGAAGGCACAGTGAATGGGTGGTGTCATGACTCCTAAAGCTCTGTGATACTAAAGGATTGAAAAAGTTCTAAAAACATTAGTATCGTAATATTTACAGTACTTACAGTACTTTGTCTTGCTCCTGTATTCTTTGCTGTCCTGTGCAACCCGGCTTGGCTTGACTTTGCGTCCCTCAGGAGAGGGCTCTCTTTGAGAGCTGAGATGACAATACTCACATGAAGCAGCACCATGCTAATTTATCCTGGCTCCCTCCTTTTTTTCAGCTAAGGGCCAGAGCAACTTCTAGGTGTCCCTTGGGTGAACTTGGATGAATTCAGGCTCTAAGAGCTGAATAAACTGGGGAAAAAAGAGTGGGTGAATTTTACTAAGGTACCAGGTCTTGAACTAGTAGAGCAGGGAAAGAAAGAGCTGCTGGTGGTGGTGTGCACAGCAGCTCCCCCCACCCCAGCACTATTAGATCAACTGAATAATGAAGAGTTAAAAATGAGAGAATACAAACAGTTTTGGTCCTTCCTTCTTGAGCACTCGTAACTTCCATAAACTAAATTTTAAATAGTGCTGTATACTTGTAGCTTTGTTATGGGATACTGCTAGAAAAAAAAGTTTTCAAATTATTTTTCTCATCACTAGTCTGTGTATGTAGTATTGTTTCTTTTTTGCAAAGTTTAACTATTCTGTAGTAACAATCCTAAGCAGAAGCACCATAAAATACTAGTTCTAAGATTCTAGATGAATAATACTTGTATTTATTGAATTACATATTCAAAGGAAATTGTCACAAATGTACAAACAAAACCCAGACCTGCCCAAAGTGTGACTCGTACAGTTCTATACAAAGTACTTAAATTACTAAGGGGAAGAAAAATATAAATAAGACTTTAGCTCCAATTGCTGAAGTTTTGCAAGTCCCCGCATACCTGCTGTTGTAAGAGAGATAAGCTTGTAATACTGTGTGAGTTTGAAAGTGTCACTTCTTATAGTATACATAAATACAGCTTGTGTTGTAGTTTTAAGGGACATATCAGATGGTCCACATCTGATGTTGTTAAGTGCACAGAAGCATAATTGTTATATACTTGTTCTTTAGCATGCTTCAGAAGGCATCGTACGATTTGATGTTCAATCGTTGTTGAAGTATGAAGATATTGCTCCATGTATAAATCTGAAAAGCTGGGTTCAAACGCTCAGGTAAGAGTTTGTGAGGAACTGTATTGGGAAAGTGGGAAAACCATTAGCATGTGGTTAAAACAGTAAGAAGTTAACAGTGAAATTTAGGATAACAACAATATTCTCATCAAATTTTAAGTAGGTTTGGAAGCATCAATTAATAAACTTTCTCAGCATTCTCCTATTGGTTCCTTTTAACTTCAAAAAAATTTGACAATTACAGTGACCTATTCCATACAAATTATTTTCCTTAAGCCTCCTGTCAGCAGTCTATCTGGTGACTGCCAGACTAGGAAGCCTGGGTTAAATAGACCTGTGGTCAGACCCAGCACAGATATTTTACTGAGTGAGTCTTGGCAATGAAAAAGCTGACAGCATGTTATAGAAAAATTTCAATCACGTAATTAAAGGTTGTCAGAATGTATGAATGAAATGTAAACTTAAATGAGGCCAGGCCCCCCTCATTCTGCTGTTCTTTATTTCCGAAGCTCTGATTTTCCTGTATCATTATGATTTAGCCTATATTCTTTGATGCTTAAGGTCTAAAGTGTTTGTGCTGCTCTGAACAATAGCTTGTCCTAACTGTATCTGAAGTAACATACACTACATAGGTAACTACATAGGTAGTGTATGTTAACATTCTTCTGTGTTACTACTATGATTTCCATAAGGCCTCTTACAAATTATCTTCTGATACAACCTTCTATAACAAACAATTATGAGCTACTTATTCTGTCCTCTAATTATGGTGCAGTTAGTACTTTTATTCATGGATTGAAAGATTAATTGCAGCATGGACACTAGAGATGTAAAGTAACCTGATTTTTTTTCCCTAATCCCAAAGTCTGTTCATTTTGCCAATTTTGGGGTTTTTTGTGGCCTTTGTTTTTGAGCATTTAGACGTGCTTGCTGAGTTCTGCTGGCTTCTTTCTTTGTCAGTGTCTGTAATGTCACTAAAATTTGGTTTTGAACTGATACTCATTTTAACTGTGCAATTTATTCTGCTTGGATAGTTACAATATTTTAAGAGATGTTGCATGTACTGAATTCAGTTGTGCTTCAGAATATGCTTCTGCTTAAGCAACACAAATTTTCATGGAGGATACATGTTTCTTAATAGTACCTTCTGTTGGTTTTTGTTCTTTAACTGCAGACCAGTGAGTACAAAAATAAAACCTTTGGGCTCCAGAGATATTTTACCAAATAATCGTCAACTGTATGAGATGATTTTGACCTATAACTTCCATCAGGTAAGGGTTATGGATGGTTGTTTTTATAAAAGTTATTAGTATATACAGCATGTTTTATAAAACCAGATTTTAACTTTAACTAGCTTTCTGTCAGAAACGAGACCTAGACTCACACACTAGACTCTCTACAGTCAAAATTCTGATTTGGTTCTCTTGAGAACCTGTTGCTTGAAATGGGCTTTAGTTCACGTACCCTTTTGAATATGTGTGTAAGGATTGTACTTGTTTTATTCAGTAGTGGATTAAATGTTTTTTATCTTTCTTTTAATAGCCTAAGAGTGGAGAAGTAACTCCAAGCTGCCCACTTCTTTGTGAATTGTTGTACGAATCTGAATTTGATAGTCAACTGTGGATTATTTTTGACCAGAACAAAAGACAGATGGGTTCAGGAGATGCCTATCCACACCAGGTACAGAGTACTGTATTTATTTTACCTTCTGTTTTCTGCACAGCATGAAAATTTTCATTCTGTTTCACCACGCTGTTAGCTCCTAATGTTTCCTGATGCATAGGTATAACGTTCTTCTATCTTCACAAGAAGACAGGTTCAGTGGTGATACATTTGTATGAAAAAAGTAATGATTCACAGGTTTGTTTCCATGAAATAGAACATTATGATTTTTTTGTTCTCCAAGGAAGGAGAAAAAGTTATGGTGTGCTTTATTTCTACAGAAAGCTGTTAACTTGTGATTTCTTGTGATTTTGACTGGTGCTTCTGAAGAAGTGAACTCAAGTTCTTGTTGTCTTTATGTTTGGCTTTTTTACAAAGATACCTTGAACTTTTCTATTTAAGTTGGAAAGGATCCATTACTTTTTCTGTAATTTGAGTTGTCTGCTGATAGGTCAGAGGCTTTTGTACCCATGAAGGCTGTCTTCTGTGCTGTTGGTGTCTTCAAACAGCCTTTTAAATGCTGTAGCGTGGTTTACTTCCTGTTGCTGTCTTTCAGAGGGAGTTTTTTTGCACAAGACTTGTAGATACTGTACCCTCTGTAGGAATCTCTGCTGGAACAGATCATGTGTCTGGATCATGCAGGGAAGGATTAGGGGTGTGATAAAAAAAACAGCGTAAGAGAAACATTTTCCATAGTTTTTAGTTTTGAAACTCTTTTTTACCAATCCAAATTCATCAGTGTAATGTTTATTTTGATAGATTGATCATTCTGGAACTGTACAAAAGATGAACTTTGAAGCATGTCTTTTTAATCTTATAAATTAATTTCAGAAATTGCATTATTTAAACTTCTATTCCTTAACCTGCATTTTAAGGTGCTATAAAATCTAAAAATCACCAAAGTAGTCTGTTACTTAGAGTTGGTGGACCACCATGCTGTAAATATCTGGTGTTGTGCATCGTAGAACAATTCTAAAGCAATTAAAAATTATTTAATTCAGGAAGAAATACCAACACAGGAAGCATGACTCCCTAACCCAGGAGAGGGAGATTCTGGGAGCAGGGTAGTTCTGAATTATTGTCCCTTTTGTATTATAGTAGCAGCAGCTGAAAGGAAACTTAGCATGCTACTGCTCAAAACATCCACACGGTGCCCTTTTAGGCTGATAGAAATTAAAGAATGTTTTCAAAACTAAGAATTTGAAAGACTGGGGTTTTTCAGTTGGGTGTTTTTTCGTTGGGGGGGTGGAGTTGTTCTGTTTGGTTTTTTGGTGGTTTTTTGGTTGGGTTTTTTAATAAATGGAGATGATGTTATCTGCATATTCCTAACTGAATGTATAAAAAGCTCAGGGCAAAGAGTCTGTCAGCTCTTTAAATTGCAGCCTTAAATCACACAGGGTCCCTCAGTGTGAAAGCTGTTACAGTGTTTGACACAGTAGAAGATGTCCTGGGATCTAAACTACAGACCACCCAAAGTTACTTAGTAAAATGAAAGTGTATCAAGGAAAACCTGCTAGAGGCTTTGACCTGAAAGTTTAGCAAGAAAGTTCTGATTATTATTTGAGCAGTTAATACAGTGCTAGAACAGGAACAAATTATGTCAGCCTATTTTGTGGTCTGAAAACTTCATTTTTTTCAGACAATCTGGAATGTGTTTTCGCTGCTATCAAGTCTTGAAAGCAGTCTTGGTTTCAGGAGATTCCAAAACTAAGAAATCTAGCATATCTTAAATGGCTAAAGCTATATGGATCAAGAAGAACATGTCAGTCTTATTTCTGGGTTTCTTTGTGAATGGTGAAGTATTTAATCTTGACATTTATGAGAACTTCTTTCTTTCAGTATTCTGTGAAACTGGAAAAAGGAGATTACACTATTCGGTTACAAATTCGTCATGAACAGAACAGTGAGCTGGATCGCATCAAAGACCTTCCATTTATTGTTTCTCACAGGTTGTCTAGTACCTTGAGCTTAGATATTTATGAAAACCATAGCCTTGCTCTCTTAGGGAAGAAGAAATCGAACAGTTTGACATTACCACCAAAACACAGTCAGCCATTCTTTGTTACATCTCTGCCTGATGACAAGTAAGTTACTGAAGTCCTGTTTTTCTCATCTACATCTAACCAGCTGCCTCTGCACCTAACTAAAATGATACTTTGATAGTGTCTACCTGTTTAGGCTTGGTAATTCCTCTTGTGTTGCTCTTTCACTGTTTGAGTTCTTTATTGTAGTCCTCATGGAACATTAATGAACATGGTTTTAACACTGAACTTTCTTTCTTTGAATAGAGTACCTAAAGGAGCAGGACCAGGATGTTACCTTGCAGGAGCTCTTACACTGTCTAAAACAGAACTTGGAAAGAAAGCTGTGAGTATTTGAAATGGATGACAGCTTCCTTTTCTGAAACTTTTGAAGCAAGTAAATGGCATGCCAGGAAGTGCTGTATTTCATGGTTTTAGTACTTTTAAAGAATACTAGGTTTAGTAACATAACACATTTTAGAAGCAGTTGTTTCATTATAAAGTCAGAGTAACTTATAAGTAGTTCTGTTTTTATTTTCATCCTATAATTTCAAATTTAATTGCATTTTCTAAATTTTTAATTCTAATTCTTTCACTCTGAATCCTTGTGTTTCTAGAAGCAGCTGCTTTTTGTTGGTGTGGAGCCTTTAAAAGCTATTTTGTTTAATTGCCTAGCTTAGTATAATTTTTGAATGAAAAATACGTGCATATATATTGTTTTGTGCATGTTGGTTCTCTGAAACAGCTCTACTCTTCCTTGCATGCATACATTTTTCAGGAAAAATACATGCTTTCTTAACACCTACATGTTACTGTTACAAAGTAGTAGGAATTTTGCTCACTTAAATGCATAAGCACATATTCTTACCTGCTGCACACTGATGTTGTCAACCACTAATATGGACTGTATGCTCCAACAGAGTGATGTAACATCTCTGTATGTGATGGTAGAAAAAAGCTGTAGGGTTTTTTTGCTTATAATGCAGCATCCTGTAAAAATTCTTTTCTAACTTGTATGAATCTGTAGTGCAACAGTGATTAGAGTAACCAGATCACTTTTTTGTGTATCTGGTGCTATCGTATTTAGAAAATTCCCTTAGCTATTTTTAAACAGATGGCAGAGCTGAGAATAAATTTGAATTGGTCCTGGTGATTGTTAGTATTTTGAGGTAGTTCATCTACATCCATATATCACTAGATGTGGCTGAACAACAGGTATATTTTTTTCATACAAAATAAGTTTCTGTGAGTAGATGGGCACATACCTTTAGATCTTGTTGAGTAGAAAAGTTTAGTTCATTCAGTCTGATTTGGTTATAGGTAGTACTTTTGGGGCAGATTGTATGTAATGGCAGGTTAGATAATGTGTGTCAGGAGAATTTATGTATCATTGAGGAAAAACACAGTAATTAACAACTCTAAAATACTTAGTTTTATATTTCTTTGTGATTCTTGCAAGGTTGCAAGTATACTTTTATGAAATCCTTGGTAAATCCGTTACAGTAGTGTAGTATAGTTTCCCTAACTTGAATACTGCACTTCCTTGAACTGTTGGTTGTAATTCTCATCTATCTGATTTTAAAATCAGACTAATTGGTTACATACAGTGATTTCTGGGATGGGGAGTGGGAGGTAGGTAGGTATTGCCTGTCAAATTTCATGTGATGAAGAATACTTAAGAAGTTACACAGAGGGAAATTCTAGCTGAGGCATGTCTTGTGTCATAGTCTAAGGCATTACTGTTATGGTCATATTTCACTGGAAAAAGGATGATATCAAATAGCGTCAGATGCTTTCTGTTGCCTTTAGTGAAACTCAGTATGTAGCAGGAGACAAGGAGGGCTAGGCAGTAAAGTTGTCTCTAAGTCAGCAAGTGGGATGCAGGGAAAAGGTACCTAATTTTTGTATATTTATTATGAAATAGAACAATGCCACTAAACAGTCAAAATCTAAAATCTATACTTTTGAGGCTGAATTTCTGTAATTTATTAATTTAAGCGAAGTGGTTAACAACACTTGCTTGTCTTACAGGAATAATGGACTGTGTACACAATAATGCATTGTTTTATTAATTTTAAAAAGCTGAAGGAGCATGCTTTAAGAGCATGTTTGATCATAGATGTGACTCTAAAAGTTTAAAAATCTGTAGGCTGAAAGTATAACCATAATTGTACAGAGAAGGTGTCTCCATCCTGTGTGGTGTGTGCATGTTTTCTTACAGTATGTTATTCTAACTCCCAGGGGCAGTCTGCAGCAAAGCGACAAGGAAAATTTAAAAAGGTACTGAATGTTAGTTTTTGAAAAAGATATACTTAAGTCTTTTTGCATATGACATAAAGAATTTGTCTACCAGTATTGGTTTTTAATTTGTCTCCCTCATCTACCTCCTTAGTCCTGAGTTGTTTACTTAGCACCTTAAGTATGTCTACTGGTAGAATGACAAAACACTACTGTAATACAAAGCTGAGAGGCATGTCAACATCTGGATACTTCTGCAATAAGTGCTGTCAAAAATGCATGTGGTGACTAGTAGTCTGTAATTTTTATGAAATACGCAGGGATGTTCTGTGTTTGTGGTCAAGATTTTCTGTGGCAAATGTTTCTGCGTATTGTATTCTGTCTGCAAATTGAGAACTGAGTATTAATCTAACACTTTGATGTAGAATTGAATATCTAACTGTATACCAAGTCTACTGAATTGAGAGCTGGTTTCATTACAGTCATCAAAAATATACTGTAGAAGCAGTTTTTTCTTAGGAGGGATGGACTTGATTGAAACGTCTCTCAATTCATTATTCTACTCAAACTGAATATAACTCATTATAGGCTAGAGTTTATACAGTGATGTAACAGGTAGTAGAATTTATAAAAAGAATTTTGGAGCATGTACAAGATATTTTGGGTAGGATGTGAGTGACTTTTAACATAGCAGTGTTTAATGTTGTGCTTTCTCATATTTTTACATTAGGTAATGCAATATTCTGCCAGCAGTCAGAGACTGAAACAGTCTTTATAAAAAAACCCAAAAAAATGTTTTCATAGGTTACCTTTATTAAGGCTACTGTTTCTTTTTCTTGTTTTGTTCTTAAGTTGTAAGGCTATTTACATTCTTCTGTTTTGAAGGTACTGTGTTCTGGAGTGACATGCAAATTAGTCAGGATTCGTAGAAATAAATCATGAGAATTGTGAATAACACAGATTACTGCTGTAATCTGGTATTTTGTTAACAGTGAGCTGGTAACTGAGCCTCCTGACTTATTCTGGTCTTGGTGTAGTAACAGCGTGGGAATGTGATGAGGCTTTACAAGAAGGATTTTAATGCGCGTTGCTGCAATTTTATTTTCATACTACACCGGAAAAATTATGCAGATCACTTTTAGAAAGGCGATTTAAAATCCCATGTGAATGTGCAGCTTTCCTGATGAATAGGGTGTAAAGGCTTCACTAAGTGAATCCTGAGCAAGGGAGTTAAACTCTAATCATAATTCAGTGTGCATAACAAAACCTATTAAACAGATCCAAGAAGTTGCATGTTCTGTATTTTTCTTTTGTTTTTAGAACAGAGATTTGTGTTCAGATCTGAGTGGTATAACTACCCACTCAAGCCAAAATAAAAACTGGTCTTCTTGATACTTCCACCTATTATTCCTAAGAGACATCAGTGTACGAGCAGCAAATAAATAAAGCACTGTGTATTTCAGAGCATTGATCCATAAGAGCTCCATTAATGAATATATTTTTCTGAGAATGCAACTCTGAGGGCTTCCTTGTTTACAAGCTTTGAATATTTATTCATAAATAATATGAACCTTGTCGTAAGTTTACATGTAGTTAAGATGTTTTCCAGCATAGAAAACATGTTTATATGTTTATTTTGTGACCCAGGCAGTCAAAAAGGTATGTGTAGATTTTTCATATTTTTCACAGACAAATCCAGGCCCTCTTATAGGATTAGGAGTGTTAAAATAAAAATGGGACTTGTAAATTACGTGTGTGTTTTGCTCTGATACTGATGGCTAGTCTGTGGAAAGATTTTTTTTTATTATTATTATTTTTTGATTTTTTGATTTAGTTGAGGAGGGAGAGAACTTGTTAGCTTGCATCTATGTGCATGACACTACCAGAAATCCAGGGTGGGTATTTCTGGTTGTTTGAAAGTATTTTTGTTTTCACAGAATGGCTGGGGCTGGAAGTGACCTCTGGAGGTCATCTGGTCTAACCCTGCTGCTTGAGCAGGGCCTCCTAGAGCCAGTTTCCCAGGACCACACCCAGACAACTTTTGAATATCTCCAAGGGTGGAGACTATACAACCTCTCTGGGCAACAGGTGCCCAGTGTTCAGTCACCCCCACTGTGAAAAAGTATTTCCTGATGTCCAAAGGGAACCTCCTATGTTTATGTTTGTGGCCATTGCCTCTTGTCCTGTCACTGTGCACAAATGAACACTCTTTACATCCTCCCTACAGCTATTGATGACATTCCCCCCACCACCTCCCAAATGCCTTTTCTCTAGCCTGAATAGTCCCAGCTTTCTCAGCCTGTCTTCACAGGAGAGATGCTCCAGTCCATCATCTTTGTGGACCTTCGCTGGACTCTCTCCAGTACATCCATGTCTCTCTTCTACTGGGGAGCCCAGAACTGGACACAGTACTCCAGGTGTGGCCTCACCAGTGCAGAGCAGAGGAGAAGGATCACCTCCCTCGACCTGCTGGTAGTGTGTCTAAGTCACCTCAGGATACCATTAAGCTCTCTTTGCCGCAAGGGCACATTGCTGACTTATGTTCCAACTGGTGTCCACCAGGACCCCCAGGTCCTTTCCTGCTTAGCTGCTTTCTATCTGGGTGACCCCCAGCATGTACTGGTGCATGGGTTTATTCTTCTCCAGGAGCAAGACTTTACAGTTCTCCTTGTTGAACTTGATGAGGTTCCTGACAGCCCATTTCTGCAGTCTGTTAGGGTCCCTCTGGATGGCAGCACAAACCTCTGCTATATCAGACACTCTTCCCAGTTTGGTGTCACCTGCAAACTTGCTGAGAATACATTCTGCCCCATCATCTAGATTATTAATGAAGGTGTTGAACAGGATTGAATCCAGCATTGACTGCTGGGCTACACCACTAGTTATTGGCCTCCAACTGTGTGCTGCTGATCACCACCCTCTGGGCCTGGCCATTTAGTGGGTTTCAATCCACCTGACTGCTCATCCAGCTCATACTTTGACAGCTTCTCTGTTTTGCATAAAAGCAGTCTGAGGTTATGCCAGGAAATGGCAGCCTTATTTCCCAGAGAAGATAGTTAATTCTTCTATAACTGGAAAAAAGTGTCAATGGGTTCTTTCGACAGAATAAGTACGGGTGTCTTTGTTTTACTAGACACATACAGCAGAATCGTATGCCTAATCCATAATTTTCTACTCAAAGAGCTATTCTGGGGAACTTCATTTTAAAGTCCAAACCTGAAACAAAACCCGAAAGAACCCATGGACATGGGTTTTTACTTGATGTCTTCCTGTCTTCAGTGTGCCTGGACTTAAAAAAAAAAATTCTTTTCTCTCTGACTACTGAACCTGTGATATTAATTCAGTGGTATTTTTCCTTTGACCTGATCCCCACTGAAGTAGGGAGTGCCCTACTGTCATGGCTTGGGAAGCTAATGTACCCTTAGGAGTGCCCTTGGTCTCTAATGGGGAGGTACCTGCTAAACAACTGTGTGAAAAACAAATTGGTTAGATGTACCTTTCTTCTATCACAACCTAACTTCTGTAATCTGTTTTTTGTTTTTTTCCCTTGGTCTCCAAGTTTCATCCTGAACATAGTCAGAATGAAAACAGATCACTGACACTTTCTGGTCTGTAAGAATAATTTTTTCATTGTTTTACATAATGCAGCTTTTGAACAGCAATATGTAACAACTAGCTAAGGGATAGAAAATTTCTACATTTTTCCCCTACTTTGCCATCCTTTCCTCCAATCTGAAGTAAGAAATGCACTATGCAGGTATAAATATGTACTAGTGGAAGACTAATAAATACCATTGTGAAGTCAAACGTAAAAGGAAATGTTTTGGATTACTTCCTTTTAGCATTAAGACACTACCCCTGTTTAACCAGGCGGCCTTCAAAAATAGGATGAATTACATGTATGATTTAATTTTGTGTAAGCCTGGCTGGTGACTTCAAGAAACTTCATTCACTTTCAATTAAATAAGAGTATTGCTGTAAAAATAAGCAACATTGCACAAATTTTATGCATCTTAAAGTAGACAGGAATTTCGTATGCACATTGAACTATGTGTTTATGTAGATGTGCATGGTATTTATTAAATGGAAAATGAGACCGGGGATGTGTTCCTTCAAGGAGCTTTCTCCTGTGGTTAGTTTTGCTGTGGAATGCTTTAAAGTACAAAAAACAATAGTTCATATGTCTTTTTCACATAAAGAACCAGATGTTGAATCATCAGACAAAAATCTACATTTAAATCTTTAAACAAAATTAATAGTTAATTAATCTCTTTTAACAGGTGACTGTTTTGAGGGCGTTATGCTTGTTTATGTATACAATTTGTCGTTCCAGTTAAAAGTAAACTCACTGAGGCTTATCAAACTGCACAGAGTACACTGAGCAAAGCGCATATCCTATATGCTTCCAAAGTTTTTAATATTGCTTAATTTTTTACGAGGATAAACAAAGGGCTGCTTTCTCATTAATTTGAAAGTTTCCTTAAAGTCATTTTTTCAATGCATAATATGCTTGCTCGCTGCCTTTCTCTGTCTGTAACTCTGTATCTTTTTATAGCTATATATAAAATCAATTCCAGTATACTACTTCAGCAATTCTCAGTCTTTCAACTGAGTTGGAGTGAAATTTGAATAAAAAAACAGATAAAAGCACTGAATTGTGGAGAATTGCCTTTCTTCTCCTTAATCTCTAATGATGAACGTTTCTGTAATGGCAATGACAGTGTCATCCTGGGATCTTCTGGTATCTAGGGGGTTGCCAAGCTTTATAAATAATGCTTGTGTTTACAGACAGAATATAGAAAAGAAAGAAGCCTTCAGTCCATCTTATGGTCTTGTGATCGTTTAGTTAAAAATGATAAGCACCTAAACCTTATTTATCCCATTAAATAAGTTTGATGTCTGTAGAGAAGAGCGTGCCTCTTTTTCAGTAAGCTCTTTTGAAACAGGAGGGTGCCTAGGTCTGAAGCTCATTGTTTTCCTTTCAATGGTCATAATGCTTGCAGAATTTCATGAGACCAAAACTACCTAGCTGAGAGAATGGAGAGATGACATTTTACTGTTGATGGTTTAACTACATAGAATTTGTCTCTTAAATGGAAGCGTTCATCTACAGAAGCGTGCATTTATTAACCTAATTATGCTTGGTTTGAAACTTAAACTGGAGTAGTAGAGTCTTCTCATTTAGACAAAGCTGAGAATGCAGAGGCCATTTAGATACATAAGTCCAAGTGTATGTTGCCAAGTAATATCGACAGAGGACTTTCAAGAAGGAAATCCTGAAATAGCAGAAGAATATTTCTAGGAAGACAGGTTTCTTTCTTAGGAAAGTATTAGTCTCAATAGAGGAAGTCTTTTAAAAAACACTGTAAACTACTGATTTAGATTTTTGTACAGAACTAACTTCTTAGGCATCTTAAAATGTTTGGTTTTCTTTAATGAACTACATTGTTGCTTTCCACCATTCTAATTACCTTAACCAGCCTCATACCATGTTTCTGACTTCTGTATCCTCCACTGCATGTGCCTGCCTCCATGACTTGTTTTGTCATGATCTGGCCTAGGTCTTGCTGAAGTTTTATTTAGGTGTACTGCCTGGTCATGGACTTCGTACTTTAAATACATGTGTGCAGGATAGTTCCTGTGAAAGCTAAAGTTCAATGTAGATTAGTGTTCTAAACTAGGTTTAAAAGAAAATACGTAAATGTCAGTTTTGTGGTGCATCTGCGATTACCTATCAAGTAGCTGGAAAAATTGTTTTAAGGGAATATTGATGTCATTTTCTTTTACCAGTATTGTTTTCAGTAACCCATAGCAAGCTGCTGTTCTGTTTGAACTATCAGTTCACATAAAATTGTTCTGTATCCGTGTTCTTGAATAGTTTCAGAAGTGTAGCGTTGAAGTCCATTATTTCAAGGTTATGCATAGCAGTTTATAACAGTCACCTTTTTACTTACTATTTAAGTAACCTGAAGTAAGTCCATCTTGTGCACAAGATTTCCTTTCATTACACAACACTGACCTAGTTTATGGGAAACGTATTACTACAAATGTTTTTTGGAATAATTGGTCTCAATAATTAAATTGCCGCAGCAGTTGAGCATGCAACACTATTTTGCACGATGTTGCAAGAGTAATGGTATCTAGAGCATTTAAACTTAAGAGATCTTCTGTGAAATATCCTGTATGTAAAATAGTGGGACATGTGCCCTTACTGTTTGGGGAGATGCTCTTTAAAAAATTGCAATGTTAAAACCAAAAGCAACAAAAATGGCCTCCCCCAGCAATTGTGACGTTTTAGAAGCATGACTGAAATCTAATGCTGGCTTACTTGCAAATTTATATGTAAATCATCTCAGGAAATGCACTTCAGAGCATGGTCTAAGATCAGTTGGTATTTTCCTTTCAAATAGCTGTAGCTGATTTTCTCGTGGTAGTTGTTGACTAGTGTAGCAGGAATTCAAACTATAGTGATATTTCTATGCTAGCCTATAGGATTTAAAAAAAAAAATCTTGCTGTTGTGTCTACGTAAGTTGAGCACAGACACAGGTGAAACTGGGAAGTCTGTAGCAGCAAACTGGAAAACTGTGGATGCATCAGCTAATTCAGTAGGCACATGGAAGAACTATTGTCTCAGGAGGAATAAACTTGTGTATCCTATGGGTTGATTCATGTTTATGCTACTGTGGTACTATTTTTTAGGATTCAGTTATCTATTCATTTGTTTATTGCCAGATTTGTAGGGTACAATCACTAACTGATTTTTTTTTCCTTTGCCTTTTAACCAAGTTATTTTCTTTTTTATAAACAAACAAAAAACCCCCACCCTTCTGATTCCCTAACTAATATTATGTAAAATTATATGAATATAAAAATGTTAGTCTTGCTAAATTTTAGTCTTTCTTGTCTTATACCCAGTGTGCTGTTTTAATATTTACATCCTTGCATTGCTTAAAATAAAAAGTTACAGCAGTTCCTGAGTTCTTAATGACTAATACCTTTGCTCTCAGAATCCTTGAGTGTATGCATAGCTCAGAGTAGTTGCTTGCTATGATTTAGCTCTTATATAACATCAGAAAAAAAGTGTGCTGTATCCCTCTCAGTATGTGTCTCTTTTCCCACCTCCAGGATGTCCTTACTGTTCACTATCATCTGATACCATCACCATCAAAGAGTAAAAATGGCAGCAAAGAAAAAGAAAGAGAACAGGAAAAAGAAAAAGATGTAAAAGAAGAATTTGCTGAAGCTTTAAGAGATCTAAAAATACAGTGGATGACCAAGTATGTCTGCTGTCATGACTACACAAGCTGGAAGCAACTGTACAAAAAAAAATTCAGAATCTGTACTTTCATGCAATGTCCTTCTCTCTCCTAGGCTGGATACCACTGACATGTATAATGAGTTGAAAGAAGCATTTCCTAATCATCTTCCATTGTATGTTGCAAGACTTCATCAGCTGGATTCTGAAAAGGTTATTTAACGCTTTTCAAACTTGATTTGTCTGGATGCATCTATGTAGCCTAAACAACTGAATCTTTCTTCACATATGTTTGGTCTTGAGGTGACTGCCATAGCTGTACTTAGTACTATAAAGCAGAAATTCCTAATGAGGTTTACAGCTGCCTGTCTGACTGTGATTTACTTAATCCCACAGCAGACAGACAGTATGCCTACCTGTAGTATGTTTGCTTATCATTTACTCCTTGTTACATTAAACACATTGTAAGCTTCCTTATTGTTTTGGCTACAACAATATTCTAAATGGTGGTTGCTGCGACAAGCATACATCCCATTCTGCTCCTCTACTGGATTGGTAATTTCTTATAGTAGAATTGCTCAGACAACTGAGGACAGTGACACTTTGAAATGACAGAGCTAAATCCACCATCTGTCATTGTCCTCAAAAATGGGAACCATAAACAGAAAAGTTTAAATATGTCTGATTTTGTTTGTCTTGAAGATAAACAGCTTTGTGTATATGTCAGTAGCTTGAATAGTTTTCTGTTTACTTGATTCTGATTTTATATTTATTTCTAAAATTAGTAACTGCTACCAATATTTAAGAGGATTATTTGTACTGAAAGGTGTTTTTCCTTTCTGTAAACTGCATTTTGCATATGCCCACCTCATATTTTACAGTTTGTTTTCAGTGAAATGGACTACATATGCGGGAAATCTTGATAACACAGACTACTTAGCAGGTTTTTTTAATCAAAAATTGGAAAAAAGGACAGGTTGAATTATCTAATGTTATTTCTGCATGCCTTTGCAATTATCCTACTGTTAGTAGAATCAACAATCAAGCAGAGTGATTTTATAGTTCTAAACACCTTTTTTATTCTTCTTTTAGGAACGAATGAAAAGGCTTGATGAAATTGTTGAAGCTGCAAATACCGTAATCTCTCATATTGATCAGACAGCATTAGCAGTGTATTTTGCCATGAAGACTGATCCCAGGCCTGATGCAACTACTATAAAAAAGTACCTAGCCAGTAAATAATTTTATTGCATCCTATTTCTGTAATCTATGTACTTTGTCTCTGCTTACAAGAAATGGAATGACTATAACCTTTTTGAATAACTTGTATTATTTTTTGCAGCACAGGTAATTTCAAACTTGAATGCAAAATTAGTTTTTTCTCTTATTATATTTCCAGAATGCAGACACACTGAAACCTGCAAATTTTTACGTAGAAATATTAAATAAAATAAACAAGGGTTTTCAGGATTTAAATGTGTCAGAAAAATGGGGCATTAAGTTTTTGTATTAAGCTTAATCTCAGATCAGAGGGACCACTGGAATATCAATATAGAGGTGTGTGTTTTGAATGCTACCTGCCTTTTCATAATACTTTGCAACCTTTTGGAACTGTATCGAAAGACAGAATTGACAGCAGTCTAAGAAGTAGCTGCTTGCAAAAGATTTTATTTGTGAAAAGTGTCGTGACCATACTTGTGCTTCAGAGTATTTTTGAGACCCGTTTTTTTTCTTTAGTTTTAGATTGTTCCTCTGAATTACTAGTATATATCCATAGGAAGACAGAATTTTGAAGGTGACACCCTAGTCTGGAGAATAATTGGTGGATTTCACAGTCTGTGGCATGATATTGTTTGTCGCAAGTAGAGCAACAGATTTGAAAATTAGGCCCTTAAAATGGAAGATGCATATTTGTTGATTATTTTAGATAAAATACCATATTTCAATTGTAAAAGTAGTCTGTCTGTTCTAGTTATTCTGAATATTTGTGTATAATTCTCAAATTGCTGATATAAAAGCAAAGCTCTGACATAATAAATTTGATTTTAAATATTTCGTGGTAAGTTGACCCATTAGGTCATGTGGTTGAATCTTAACATCTGAAACTGAACACCAAATTCAGTGGTGCTTTAAATGGGTGCAGTTCCTTTGAAGTCAGCAGAATGGTATCTGCTTATGTTAGTGGCAGATTTGACTGTTTATAATGCCAAGAACTGTAAAGCTGTATTTCTAGATGCTGGCTTATTCAGTTTTAGAACCTGGAATTGCCCTTGCCTTAAGACATCAAAGGCATTTCAGACTTAGAAGAATGATTGACCTTGCATAGTGTCTCTAGGTAATTTTTTTTTTAATTTATAGTAAATAACCATGCTTTAAAAATTCTCTTTGTTTATTTTCATTTTGTGTGTACTAATCACTGTAAACTTTTTAGCTTAAACTCAGTATAGCACTGATTCTGGTTTTCATGAGGTATCTGCAAAAAGTCTTTAATATTTTTCATGCTGTTTTTTTCTAGTGAAATGGAAAAACAGAAGACTACTTTAGTGGATGCACTTTGTCGAAAAGGAAGTGCACTGGCTGACCAGCTTCTTCATCTGCAGGCCCAAGAAGGGGCTGCTTCCAGTGATGCAGAAGGCAAAGATGAGGATCATGAGAGCTGCTCAGAAGCTTTGACAGAGACATTCTGGGAAACCACAAAATGGACTGATCTTTTTGACAGCAAGGTAAGAGAGCAGACCAGATTTTTGTCTTTTGCATGTTGGGTTTTTTGCTGGTTTCTCCTGGAATTATGCACCACCTTTGTGTCTACAGCCTCACACATTCCTCCCTTCTACTTTTTCATGCCGTTCCCATATGTTGTACTTCCTTAATGACCTTTTTCCACAGAGGTTTTGCCAAGCCTGTCAAATCCATGGTAAGCCCATCTGTGCATGTGAAGGTAGAGGTTAAGGGAAGGGTATAGAGCAGTACCAGATTTCCATGAAAAAGCTGGTTGCTTTATTGAATTGCTTCTTTCTGTACCTTTCAGGGAATATTTTTGATTAACCTCTGCGCTGTTCTAGCTGTACACACACAGAAGTGTACAACATCCCTACTCTGTTCAGTCCTGCATTCTGTAGCCTCTTCTACACTATGGACAAGAGAAGTTTTGTGTTTTGCTGTCAGTAATGTCTGTAGAGGTAAAGGAAGAAAACCTTGGAAATAATTGCATTTACATATTTCTTAGCACATATTTCCCTGACATTCAGGGTTCCTAATCCTGAGGTTTAAGTTTTTGTCTGCTTCATTCAAGAAAGCTATTCCAGAAGAAGAAAAAAAATCCACTGTAGGTGATTAGTTATGTAGCTTTTAATTTACAGTTTATGACTTTGTATGTTTAACTGTTGAGTTACTGAGTATTAATTAGTTGCTGTACTTAACTCTTTCATATGGCTGTGTTTTAATGGAAGGAGAAGTGACCAGTGTGTTTGTTTATAATTCAGTTAAATTGTCAAAGCATTTCAGACAGTTACAAAAGAAAAACTTTGAAATTAAAAATATTGCAAAATTTCCTTGACAGTAAATAATCTTCCCAGTAAGAACTTGTGCTTTAGGTGGAGGCCTGATCAAGGTTGATGGTAGTTACCCTCACTTCTTCTAATGTATATGCTCTTACACACCTACATCTTTTC